AATAGACAAAATATTGGAAATAAGAGGAAAGCGGATAATGAGAAGAATATTTTGCTGCCCAATCAGTTAAATTATAATGAGGTGATTATGGTCATAGAGGTCAGTCCCCTAAGGCTGTGAATGGTTTGGTTTATTTAATTAGAGCAACATATGCAAGAGACGAGCCGAAGAGATGAGCCTAAGAGACTGCCTAAGAAATGAGGTGTCTTCGTGAAAGATTTTTTTACTCTGTGTATTTACTATCTAGGGAACACCACGCAGATGCCCATGCAGCCAGCCTGTTCCCCTAGAATCGAACCCAGTTTAAACTACAAAATTCATGGATTTTAATTCTCAGTTACTGGTGGGCCTCTAAGGCTGGTGAAAAATCCTCTTAAATTGAAGTAAGAATCATACATGTTCTATAGTGTAATTCAGTGTACCTTTAGTAGCGCCAGTACGGTTTCATTACCTCACAGCATAAAATTACACGAGATTAAAACAAGTTTTAGGTTATATAAACACGGACGACAAGCTTCTAAGTGGAACTGTTGTTCAAGTAACAAGCATTAGCTTCAATTAGAGAAATTTCATTTCGATTCGAATAGATTGATTACTGAATTTCATCGAATATATTTATTTTTATTCTAAAAAACGTGTAGCACTGCCTACTTTGAAAAGAGATACCGACGCCAAAATTGTTTTGCTCTTCTTTTCCTTTCTGAATTAAGATTTAAAATTAGTGCGTGTGTGTGTGTGATTATGGCAAAGCCTCGAGGGCTATCTGCCTAAGGGGGAGGAATGCCTTCGTGGAGGACTTTCTAAGGGAAACTGGCTCGTATAAACGTTACACATGGAGAAAAGCACGAAAACGCCCATGCAGCCAGCCCGTTCGCGGGATTCGAACCTCGGACCGAACTACCAGTGTTCAGCGACTTTACCGCTCAGCCGCTGGTGTGCCCCGATTTAAAATTAGAGATATATTCAAGGCAAACTCGCAAGGTAATACGAAGGCACTCTTTTCCCTGTAGGTGTCGTAGTTATGTAATCTAATGTATTGTTTATGACTTAGATGATGCCAAATCACCGGACTACTCGGAATTCATCTCGGGTTTAACACCTGTCATGTTTAACATACACGTGTCAGATATGAGATGTGTCATGTATGAGACTGCCGTAATGCCTTCCCCAAAGCGTTACGCAAGTAGAACCTTATTGGCTTCAGAAATTATACAGGAAGGTTCAAGAATACTTCGTCAAAATTAAATTCACTTTTTTATTTTTTGTCTGAAATCTTCCTTTTCATGGCTGTGATATAAAGAATTACAGGAAAATAATTATAGCAATAGCGAATATTCCATCATTTGCTTAAATTATATATTTGCGATCAAATAAGATTTCAGTAAAACAGCTATAGTACCTTTCATTTTTACAAAGGTATAATCTGTATAAATATCCATTAACTGTTTCTGTTCTCAGAAATGTATTTACCTTGCATGCATGTACTTAGAATGATAATAATATCCTGAATAATTATAAGCACGTCAGGGGATGCACATTTCGTCAGCCGTGGACCTTGAGCATTAGTAGTGTTATGCTATGCTCAGCTGCGACACCGTTCTGTAGTAATTGAAACTCAACGTCTAACAACAAATTCTAATGCGAATTTTCGTAAGCAAAGTTTAAGTGAAATGTACTGAACCTTAAATCCTAATCGTGTAGAGCAGGGGCTTTCAACCAGTGTGGGATTTGACAGTTTCAAGGGGAAGATGGGATCAATCTTTAATTTGTTTGTTTAGTTTTAGTTCATAAATACAGAAGACCGCTTTTATTCAGGTTTTGGTATTTATCAACATTTCCTATACTTTTCTTGTTTAATTTATAATCTATGTTAAAATAGTTTAAGTTTAAATAAATGTGTATACATTTTTCAAGTTTTGAAAAGGAGGGAGGATGGCCATCTAACGGGCAAAAAATTATGAGAAACACTGGTCTAGGGGTTCGTGGACCGATCTTTAAATGAAATTTAAATTATTTGGTTGGTATAAGTTTCGCAGGCATATGTAACGGAAACTACTATTCCGTTTTCCAATCATGGAATGGATCAAGTTTATTGTCAGTGATGAGCATACCATCAGGATATCCACCAGCAGTACTGAGATGGATCATAAAATTAGCAAACCAACAACCTTGTGTTTGGCATAGATTTAGGCAAGATCTCAATCGGTTTTGAGGGCAAACAGGTACTTGCCCGTCCCAGTCAGCAGCAAAGAAATATGCACGATTGGAAAGCAGCGGGTACAACGCTCTTAAAATCGTTAAAGTTGTTGGAATTAGAGATTTTTAGAGATGACTTGAAAGTAGCCTTTGCATGTCCATGGCAAGGTGATTGATAGAAGCAACAGTTTCTTCATTAATATTAACGTTAGAGATAACATTTGTTTTTAAAAAATTCAGTAAAGTTATCACAGTTGACGTATATATAATTAGGATTAGTTGGCTATATGCATTCAGTGAAAAAGTACTGATAGGTAACCGATCTGAACTAGAAGCGTAAATGAATTCAGTGTATGCTGCTAAATGTGGAATAGAGTAAAAGTTATTTAGTATCATAACATTCATAATATTCCTCAAATTATTATGAAAGTAATTCTGCGAACTAAAAATCCAACTTTAGATGAAACTTTGAATGCGTTGGAAAGTTCTTGTCTTGCATAAGTCCCGTTTCGGATTTCAGTTCCAGTTTTCACCGAGACTAGAAAAAGAATCAAGGAAATTTCAGTTTTCACCGCAAGAGCCATGGGCATGTATTATGACGAAAACGTCAAAGATATCTCTCATGTTGTCCACTTTTACTGACATACGTAGTCTCACCTAATGGGTAAATTGCAATAACTGCGAATATAATCATATAATACTTTCCTATTAATAGTCGAATACAAAAAGCACGTTTTTCAATAGTTGAAATAGGAAATGTCTTATGATGAAAATGTTCAAACAGAAATAATGATGATGAATAATTATGAAAAAGTCAAATGAAAATAGATTAAATAGAAAATGCAGGTTTTCAATAGTTCATTTAAAGAATTAGCATAAAAATTTTCTTACGAAACAATTGTTATTAAAATTTAAATTTTGAAAACTAAATTTATCTTCATGTATCCTCTCATATTCCTTCAAGTATTTCTACTAAAACAGTATAAAATCCATGGAGGTACAAAACTAAATGATAAATTAGAAAACTCCACAATTTTAATGATGTCGGTAACGAAACGTATTGCATTTTTAATAAACTTAAATAGACGCATAATATGATATTTACATGTCTCAGATTTCCAAAACAAAACGTGTAGAGAAATATCCCTTAATACAAATATTAATTACCCTAATGAATAAATTAACCAACTTCCCATTGCAAGATCTTAAGAATTCAAGTGGTATAAAGGAAGTTAAAAACTTTGTTTCCTAAAAAAAATCATGCGAAACTTTTTATATAATTTAAACATAATATAAAAAAATTACAATGAAATAAGCAATAAAGCTCATATTGTCAAGAGAAAACTGTCTACAGTCCAGTATCCAAAGGCAGTGAATGAAAACCTGTTGCCAAAACCACATTTCTAAAAGAATGAATCTATCATCAGAAAGCAATAACTAATTAAAATTGTTCTTTGTGGATGACATAATTCTCATATTTTCAACAGTCAGCAGTCCGGTACACAAAGTATTGAATGAAAAACTGTTGACAAAACCACATTTCTAAAAGAATGAAGCTATTAAAAATGATGCGATTTCATCAAAAAAGATAAAATAAAAAAATTCTGATTCGAAGTTTGAAAAATCGCTTCGAGGTGCACAGGCTCTTGTGTAGATGCACCTATATACCAAATTTCGTAGCTCTGGGTCTGTTAGCTTACGCGCAGCACGAACGAAAAACACCACACAGACAGACTCTTTTTTTTTATTACACGTAGATAACAATAATTACCCTTCTGTGTAGGATTAAATTGCTAAAATAAAAACATTATGCAGTTGTTCTAGAATTAGTATTTGACTCAATATTTTACTAATGAAGCTTAAATTCATCTCCCGAAAAGAACTTCTATAAGCTCAAGTTCTAACAACTTCTATAAGCTCATTTACGCTAGCGGAGCGTTAAGCCGAAGAAACGCTTGCGAAGTTTGTTTCTGTTAAAGGGTGGAAAAACTGCTCACTAATTTTTAAAAGTATAACTGGATATATATACGGATTAAAGTAAACACCCCAGGCGATAAAACATTATTAAAAATTTCAAGAGTTAAATATTTCTTCAGTATATGAAAGAAATGCTGTCAATCGAGCCATCAAGTTCGAATGCACTTCTTAGGCTCAGTGTTCAGCTACAGTAAAAAACGGGTCTTAACATTTGTGTTAACTGACAAACTTCATGTCTCAGTAACTCATGTTCATCAGATATGATAGAAGATTACGTCTAGAAAAACGTTTCTGTATCGTGCAGTATAGAAAACACCATCTGTGCGTACCTCAAAGTCAGTTTTCATTGATACCAAATACACAAGTAAAATGCATCGTAAATACAAATTTGCATATTTTTCAAAATTATATTTTGAAAGATATAGGTATACTACTACAGCAGTATTCACTAGATGCATTCTAATACTGTACTTATAAAGCATTGTTCAGTAATTGGAGTAACTAACGCTCTGTAAGTTTAGTAACATAGCAAAATAAAATAGAATTGATTTTCAACAAATTTCTATTTCAATTTCTATGTAGCTTACAAATTCAAAGTTTTAGAAAAGACCTTTAATTTAATGCTGAGAAATTAATCTTTATGAAGTAATTGAAACCCCGGTTAAATTTAACATTTTTCCTCCAACGGCGCGCACTTGCCTATAACGGCAATTTAACAAATGTAAGCAGAATTAAAATTAAAGAAAAACTTTGAAATGAATACTAATGAAGGTTAAATCTTCACAACCGTAACTGTAATCATGTTATATAATGAAGAGTTGAGGCGCTGTTTCTTTGCCTATAAGACGTTTTGACGAGAGCAAGCATTGAATATCGTTTTAACTGTAAGTATCTTTATTTCATTGGCCTTAGCTGTATACTATTTGAGGCTTAGTTAAATGTAACTTAAAACTGTTTAACTTAAATTAACACTAGGCAGATGTTCAATTTCGGTACTTACGTAGCTTCTCTGTAAAAGAATGTAATACTTTCTAGAACCCTGGCTATCTGTGATTATAGGTTTAAAGCGAAGAATTATTTGATTTCGCTATCGTTATTCGGTTATGAAAATTTCGAATAGTGGACGTAATTAATTTTATTAACGAGTTAACTTGAAAGGAATACTTTGGTAGATGTGAAGTTTCGCATATTTAACTCGAGTTAAATGTTAAAGATGACATGTTGTTAATAAATATAACTAAAGTTCTGAAGAAATTGTTAACTTTAAAGATAATTCTTAAAAATTATTGTTAACGCCTAATTTAACAGAATTTAGCGTCAGAGTAATTTACCCCTCTGTAAGGAATTACTAGAGTTGGCATGCATCAAAGTTTTCGTGAATCTCCTAGATATACGCCTCTTGAAGTTATGGTTTTTAGTTGAATTTTTCTATTTTCACTCATTTCTGAATATGGGTTTAGTGTTACAATACCAAAACGTTTTAAGTTGCAATAGAATCTGTTTCAATTTTTCCAGGATTTCAAGCTCTGTGGAAGGTAGATCATTACGATAGAGTAAGATGGCTGTAATATTTCCTAAAGTGTTCACGAAAATCCTCCTACTTGGCATTCTTAGTATACAGGCGTTTTTATTGGCTCTCGCGATATGTTGTCCAGGGATCTTGTGTCTCCGTGGACGTAAGTATAAATTTAATAGTTCTTTCTAGTTAGTATTTATTATATATAACGTATTATACTTTAATTATTCCCAAGAGCCATGAGTTTCTTCATTATCGGATTAGATACATATGTGGTTTTTTACGTTATATTATTTACGTTAGAAACGTTTGCGAACGCTTTAAATTTATGCACGTATTTCATAATAAATTAGCTAATAACGCTACTAAAGGCCGAGCAATTTAAGTCGCAGAAAAAATGCTTCCTTTCCCAGATAGAGCAAAGGAATTTGGGTGTCATTCATGGTTTTTTCGTACAGTCTAATTATGGACCATTTCCTTTTTAAATGCTATCTACGATGAACTTTCGTCAGATATCCTTTGAGTTTGTTTGCTTTACAGGTAAATGTTAATATATGCCTTGCATTTAATACTTCATGATAAATATACCCAAATTTTACAGTAAATGTACTTCGCACTCATTTTAAAATCACTTACCGCTCTGTGTTGGATTCTTTAAATAATGTCTCCTATTTTGTGACATAGCAAATGGGGCATTCGATATCATATTAAAGGGTTTTGAGTATTCTCAACATGCTGTTTGTGATGCTTTCAGCACCAAACTTTTCTTAATGCCTTAATTTCAATTAAAACGCTATATTAAAATTTTTGCATATGAATGCAAATACTCGTAATACCGTACGAAAGAAAACAACTAGTTTAACATTAAAGGCCGCATTGAATTAATTGTCGGATTTATTAAATATTTCTTTGAAGAAACAAATTGAACAATTTGGACTGTATTTAATGGGGATAAAAGGAACAAAAAGAATCATTTTCCTACCAAGACAAGTGGATAAGTTAAGCGTATTTAAAACTTTAAAATTCTTTTGCTTTTTTGTATGCTTGTGGTTCTAAATGGCGTTTCCAACCTCCGAGCGTTGAAATCGCGGAACACTGGTAGTTCAGTCCGTGGTTCGAATCTCGCGAACGGGATGGCTGCATGGGCGTTTTCGTGATTCTCCTATATGTAATGTGTATGCAGCCCAGTTTCCATGAGAAAGATCTTCCCTCTCCTTAAACAATTGGCTCCTGAGTTCCATAATCTCGTAAACCAATTAACCAGCGTTAAGTTTGGTTAAAATTCCTTCGCATGAAGTCCAAATACTGCAGCTTTCAACATACTGTAGATTAGTTTTCGTGTGATAATACTCCAACAGCAAAAGCTGTCGGTATGTATTTAAACTGTATTTTTATTAGTGTGCGCGAAACGTCATGTTCGTTCTGCTGTTGATCCATTTTACGCTGTAATGTCAACTTTGTTTTAGAAACGGGAAAGAAGCGATGTTGCACTAGTACAAACTATTAAAATACTAGAAATTTGAACTAATGCTTCAAAAATGCTCATGCAGCCGTAAATTTGGTCAAATTGCTACGCATTAAATTGATGCTATTTTAGAATGTTAAGGAAGTTTCATGCGATTTATTTAATACTTTTCCTGTTTCGCAGTTTAAGTAAAGATATAAAAATCATCCTAATTTCAGGCATTGGAATATTAACTTGGTTTTATCTTGCGTAAACCTAAACGAAACTAATGCGACGGAACTTAATGTTTGAATTCATAAGAAAAATAACCCTAAAGTCGAGTGAAATTAAGCTTAATTCCTTGTATTTTACTTTAAATATTAAATTTACTTTGATCATGCATTCATATTTCTTGAGTAAGGACTTGTAATTTTTCATTACTTATAAATAAGAAAATGTTAGCTTTCGTACGAAAAGAAAGTTTGAATATTTCTATCTTGCACAAAGTCGAACAACTAAAGATAAAGGTAAGAAATTCTGATAATTCACATGAAACTCCGTTCGTGGACCCTAAACCGCTACCTAGTTTGATATATTTGTACCAAGGAGACCATTTATACTTATTGCAGAGTAGCTGCAGAGGTTTATATCTAAAGTTTCGAAATAAACACTCTGTAATCCCATTTACAGACTTTATGAAGCTATTGATTGTCAACTTGTTCTTCTTTCTGTTCTTAAGAACTTTCAACACAAGTGTTCAACTAAAATTTTAAATTGTATTAAAATGAAATTTCCTAACTTTCTGTTGCCCAACTTCAACTAAAAGGCTTTGGCTGTCACATCAATGTTTGAAAGCTAATATCTGCAGCCACCTATGAATGTAAGTATACAAGAGCTAACAATAACAAAATTGAAATGTATAAATCTTATTCTAAATACTGTACTAAATAAGGCATACAAGTAGAACAATGTAAATAGACCGTGATGTCGCAACACAATCTTTCTATGAAACCCTTTCCCTCGCGAAGAAAAGTACTCACGGTTGTCGAAATCGGAATACTGAAACCACTTCATTTTTACATTCGGTTTCATTAACAAAGTAGCTTTTAAATTTTAAATTTATTTCTCCTTTCTTGAATATCTAGAGAAAGCATTAAAATGAGACATTTGTTCCATGCTGTATATACTGTATGCAGACGTTAATTTGAACGTAGTAATGGTTTTTTCGGATTTCTTTTTCAAATTCATGCTACTTAGTGCTTCTAAACTCTTACGAAAAGAATCCATTGTTTGCTTTCTGTGAAGCCAGCTACTGTAATGTCTCAATTTTGTTATCTATTTTAGAGTGGTCAAATTGTATTCTTTAACGTAAGTTTTCAGTTCAGAAAATCCAATGTACCAAACTTGGCGAATAATTAAAATAAGCTATCTTTTTAAAGCAAAAGCTGAAGTAATATTTTTAGATACTGAACAAGTAACTTAAGAATAATAGAACTCTGTCCGTCGTCAGAACGCAAATTTACCGTTTAGAATTGGACATTCACACTATACCCTTTCAATTAAAAATTCTTGGACATCATGTAATCACTGGTCAACTATAGCGCCTCGTCTTTGGTAGGGCCCAAACGTCTAAACGTTGGTAGTCTAAACGCTAGTAATTCGACTTGACCTCGATTCCTAGCAAACGGTCTGCTTGTATGCATATTTAAGTGGTTTTCCCATGTATGACGTGTGTGCAATTACTTTCTCTTAAAGCCCTTCCTAGAGACGTCCCTCACTTTTGTGAGATGTCCCTCACGTGCTTCGCCATAATGAGTCTCTGATAAGATTCCTGTAGAAACGAGCCAGCTGAATAACATTTTCATGGTCTATCCTGATGTATCTTATTCTAGTCTTCCTTAGACCCAGCCATCTCGTAAATAACCAGTTCGCATCATTGCCAGAGTAAAGTTTTGAAAATTTGAATACTGTACATTTACTTTAAATCATCCCTGCTTTCAATTTTTGCTTGTGACAGATCGGCTGCAAAAATTCAGATTTTAAAGGAAATTATTGCGAGGGTACTGAAAATAACCTTACTCAATACGGAGCAAGAATACTAAAGCTGATAAAAGCTCGTTTTTCTGCTTTCGTGAAATTTGCTTTTGTGAAAGTTCATGCTAATTATATTGTACAATTTCCTTGCAGGTATGACAGAAGACTTTGATGTAAAAGTCGGCTCATCGATAAGAATTTGGTGTTCTTTATTTCACTCTCGAGTAAAGGTCCAGAACACCATACTTAACGTTTCTTCTGAAAATCTGCACATAGAGTTTGATGGAAGACTTCTCTACACCGTTGATACCTTGGATAATCTCACTGTGGAATATTTTAAATCTAATGCTACTGTTAACGACACAGGAATTTATCAGTGCTATGTATTTATTCCAGACACCAAATCTAAACGATTTCTAGATTCTACGCATGTCTCTGTTGGGTGTAAGTGAGTTTATTCATGCTTTTGAGTAATTTCCGATCTTTTATGTAATCATTTAATGCTTTACTTCATAGATATGTCGGTTTCAAAATAGTTCATACAAAAAAATTCGAAGTTTAAGTTTGTAATTAGTTCATGAATAAAAAACTAAAATTTTGGTATTAATTGATTTTCGTTGATTAATTTTTAAAGTGACTATTAAAGTGATCTAAATATACATGTATCCTTTGCGTTTTGAAAGGGACGGAAAGTTCTAGCAGCGCTGAAAGAAGTGCGTGGATCTTAACACGTTTGACAATCGCTGGTCTAATGAACAGTAACGCTGAATAATGGTGCTCTCAAACGGGCCTAGATTTCAAGACTAAATTCCTGAGTTTCTTTCTTCCGTGTCTCATAAGGACCAGCGTCTCGTAGAAAGTCTTAAAGGAAAGCAATCCTTCCCTAGGCAGACATATGCAATTAACAACCAAATAGGTTATTTGATTGAAATCTAATGCAGAATAATAATTCTAACATAAATCTGTCTAAATGCAGTATACAAAAATATATTAAGCTTAACACATATTAAAAGTGGCGATATTTTTCAGTTTCTGTTAAATGCTGTTGTCACAAAATTTAGAACGGTTCATAAACGCGGGTAAAAACATTAAAAACTACTTAGGGCTGATTAGTTTTCAGTTTTACTTTACTTTTAAGCGTGTCCTAATCCTTGGGCTATCCACTGCCCTTGCAGTATACTATTTTTGGCACTCTGAATTGTATGAAAGATTGTTTCGGGAGCTTTATAATAAAATTTCATTCAGCTCTAGATTTTGCGCAATGCTGTGGCTAGTTTTAAGTTTCAAAGAGTTAAAGAATTAATACGGAAAGTGTTTACGTACCTAAACCTGCGAAGATTCATTAAAAGCAGAATTTCAAGTTGAGGGCAACGCTGCTACATTTAGTGTTGATGAAATATCTAGTTATCACACAGAGAATAGAAATTTAATTTACTTCGGTTTTTGGTAAAAAAAAACCCTGGTGCAAACGCACTTATCTGTGGTATGTGAAACAGCTGGATGTCTTGGCTCCTGCTCTCTTGGAAACGGCTCAGAGGCCAGAATGAGTTCGGAATTATAATCTTTTGCCTTAGCCGCGCGAAGCGAACGTTACCACAGGGTTACTATTCAAGAGCCATAATTGGAAGGTACTTTCAAAGCTCACTAGGGTGGACTGTGCCTAGGCTTGCCTTATGCCTTTTTCAGACTAGCCGTTCTTTACAAAAGGCGATCAGCAACCTGCCATATCCCATAACAAAAATCGGTTACCCTCTGCTCCCCAACACGCTCTCTGAAGACAAATTCTTGTGTCCCGAGTAACTTTTAGTTTAAAATTTTTCTAATTTTCTAAGGAGCTCGTACGTTGCAGCCTACGTTTATTTGAATTTTGAAAATGCAGGCAATAAACGGCCCAAAAGGAGAGCAGGAAATTTAAAACAAAGCAAAATGTAGGGTTAATAATCAAAATACTAAAGGAAAAATATAAGACGATACAATATAAAATAGGAATCTGAGTAAAAAAAAATTTTGTCAGCTAGACGAGTAGTGCAATTCAAATATTCCGCTGCAGTGACTAAACCCCTTGTGGTGTGCAATGGATAAGCATCCCATCTGTGTCTACTTGAAGTTGATTTAGGAAATCCTAGAAATTTCTCACATAGCTTTAACTTTAGAAAGGTTCCACTTAACTATAGGACCACTTGTTTTTACCTGTTTACCTGCACAAAACTGCTAATAAATTAAGCAAATAACTACTCAACATGACCGAAAGCAATAAAACTTTAGAAGCTCGGTATATGCTTATTACTTATCTCGTGCTACACAGAGAAACGGATTTGGCGATTTCATGTTGACAAATTCGAAATCTATCGAATATAGCAAAACGCGGTCTCATCCTTGGCTGTTACGGAGGTATATTGTTCCTGACATATCTATAATTTATACTAAGAAATTGTATTGTGGACAATAGCTGGTACTATACTCTAAGTCTCCTTCGAGGTCTGTTCTTAGAGGTGATGTCTACATTGGATTATCGCATGTGTAAAGTCTCTTGCATTCTGAAACAAAATGCGCTCTTGTGGCAGTCCCAACCTTCCAATTATGTAAGCAAAATATCTCATAATGCATTTATCGTTTTACGCTTGGAAAAATTTCATTATTCCCTTATTTACCGGATATCTCTAGTCGATCGTTTTTTGCTCTGGAAAAAACTTGCGCACCAGAAACTAAAATATTAGGCACTCGTTTAAATACTAAATTTCGTAGAATGTGAATGGCCATGTTTTACTTTCTGAAAAGTTTAGAGTTCTTAATTCCAAGATTTGCAATTGAAATACTAAAGCGAGCCTGTTGTACCATTTTTGACTTCCATACCACCATTGGTTACAGAAGCATCCGATCGATTTTCTAAGAATAATCGCTCGCTAATGAATTGAACTTTGTGGTCCAGTAACAACTAACTGGAAATAACGGCCCCTAAAGTCTTGCGTTTGTACTCAAACCTATGAATTTTCTTGCAATGGTCTTTGAAACATAAAAAATGGCAATTCACTAATACTGGATTTTCACATTGAGAGTAAAACTGAAAGCAGTTGCATTCTCATCAAGTGGAAAAACCGGTTAAAAAATCCTGCCAACGATGACGCATTTTAAATCCATTCTAAATCCTATTAACAGGATCAAGTATAAGTATTTAGCTTGTTAAATATCTTATTTTACTGATAGGAAATAAGTACTTTAATTACGTGAATATTGGGTTTATATTCAAATCCGATTTTAAAAGCATTTGCGTTTTTAAAAACAATATTTAAGTATTAAACTAATGAATGTTGTGAATTTCAGATGAACCATTGGCTATAAAAACTTTTTCTTGCATTAGCGAGGAATTCAGCAAGCTAATCTGCACCTGGGAAATTCCTTTTAATCCTGTAAAAACATTCTATACGCTTCACGACTTTACTGATGAAGGACAGCTGTAAGTACACTTCGTTGTATTTATTCCATTCTATAAGGCTTTTATTTTCTTATTGATCTGCCTAAACTCACGGGCTGTTTTCCTATTTAAGTATTTTATTGTTTATTGGTATATGTTGAACGTTCATAGAAGATTAAACTTTTAATTTTCTAATCTGAAATTGGACTGAACGTTAAAGGGTATTACAGTGTCTCGTAAAAACGTCAGTTTTAAAAGCAGATCTTATTTTTAGAAGCTAAGACTCTGCTTTTTATTTAGGTATCATTGCAAATTCTTGATTCTAGGAAACTATTAAATAAATCAAAAGCTAGCAAGTATTTTAACATTTTTTCATGCTGACATACCTACTTAAATTAGCAGGTTAGAGAAGGCAACTTGAGTGAGAAATGGGGAATTTAGAAATTTGGTTCTAAGTTGATTTAGTTTCCAAGATTAAATCAAATGATTTAATTTATTTTATAGTTCTTTTAGCATTGATTATACGACAAGTTTCAGAACTTGAGCGCGTATTTTTAAATTTCGGTGCTTGCGTATCAACACAACCACCTACAGGCGCAACTTGACTATTTTTACGTGAAAAGTTATTTATTGGGCGCGAGATGGTGACTTTAAGAAAATCCATTTGCAGACTATATTTATCGTACGTCGGCAAGCATTATCACATAAGAAATTACTTTAAGAATTTAAATTGTAAACTTAAGGACAAGTAAATTAAAAATGTGTTTCGCTAAATCCTTCAGATTTTGCTCGTGGACAGCAATCCCTTTTAGCGTGAAATCAAAATTTTACAAACTGGGCAATTTCGGTACAATTCACCGAACGCTTCGTCCTTGTTCCTTCGAGATTTTGCAAAGATTGTTGCAGTTTTTCTACTGCTGGAAAATTCAACCCTGTTTTAAAATATACAGATTGTAGAAAGCATAAAACCGTGATTTGTGTATAATTGTTGCAACATAGAGAAAAAGTATTCAAGAATATGTGCATTGCGCGACCAAAAGATGGTTGTAAGCATGGCTGCCCGAAAGCTTGGTGCATGGTTCCAAATATTTAGCGCATTTTGAAAAGCTTTCTACTAATGGTAATACATAACCAAATTTTAATCATACTCAAGTTTATTTCTATCATTGTAATCTATAATACTGTCGTTACCATTGGTTCATTAAAAGTCGATAAAAGTGACGCTCGAAATATGTATTTGCTCATTGAATTGGATTGTAAGGTATTGAATAATCCATAATTTTCAAAATAAACGTTTACTTAACTAACAGTACACTATTGATTGGAATGGCTGCAGGTTTATCGAATAAACGTCTAAATAAAAAGGGTGTTAAGTTAAACTATGTATCTTTGTATCGATTAAAGCTCAAGATTGGTAGCTCAATTGTTTGATGCCTCAACTCGAACAACTGAGCGTCTTCGCATGAATCTGCCTGCAAATGATGCATAATGTTACCGAATTTTTTCGTATAAAATTTATACCGTTAAACAATTTAAAACTTGTTGTTTGTTTCAGCATCTAGTAAGTTAACAATGTAAAATCAAATTTCTCTTGGCAAAGCTACCCGCTTTTCCTGTTGGTCCCTAAAGCTGTTATTTGTTCGAATGAACTGAATTTAAAATTGGATATTATCTTGCAGTCTAAAACTGAATTTGGATAAATAACTTTGGGATGTCATATAATTTGCAGACTGTCTGAATGCTGTATTATACAACGGAACCGAGTTCCAGTAGGTTTGAAATGGGAAATATTAGATGCAAATGGATGGTTAGCTTCAAGGCTAAGCCTGCTGCATATTTATTCGAATGAAATTAACCCCTATCATGTATCTGATAAGCTTGAAATTTACGATTCTAGCAATATTTATACCTGTTCCAAGGAAACAATTTTTGCTTTCAAACGCTTCTCATTCTAGACAACTGGAACAAGTTTCTCGCGCATAACAAATGCTCTTCGTTGAAAGCCCTCACTTTTATGCATAAACTAAGCATAATCTTTCAGTATAATTTTAAAATGCGAAAAATCTAAATTCGTGAATGTTTATTTATACCCCTATGTTTAATTTTGTTTAGCGATCTACGAGAATGTCCAGGAATTCTGAATGCTACCAGTTGCCAATGGACTCTACATTCTTCCCCATCTTATACGAGATTCAAGCCGACACTATCATTTCTATTTACTGGCCATAATTCCTTGGGTAGACGTATGGACAGATTTTTTCTAAATCATTTCGAAATAGGTAAGTTTTTCTTAAATTGAAAAACTTTCTGAATTTAAATTCAGTGCCCATTTAATTTCTGTTGTTGCTTCTTATTCTTCGATGTTCAGTACATAACAATAAACACTTAAGTGTGATATCAGACTATAACCAGGTGAGAGAAAATAGTCTGAATAGTTTTTAGTTATAAAATTCGTTAAACATATTTTTGACCTGATGGATTAAAGTTTATACCAAGGCGTAACTATTTACTTGTTCAAAATCATTTGTTTATTCGTCACATTAATTCCCGTTTCTTTGAAAGTATAGTTTGCTTAATTTTGAAGTTAAAATTTGTTAAGTTTCCCGAGACAGATTAAGTTATTCTTTATCAGGAGTTTGCGCAAATCGTACTACCGCTTATTATTTTTTAAATATTTGGTGTAATATTGCACCTGTTCTGGCAAAACCAGTTACCCCTAATCAACCACACCGTTTCGCATAGTTTGTCCCAGTAATACTTGTGAGGAAGAGTGATTCATTCCCTCAAATGAAAAGGATGGGTACGTGACTCTTATACTAGAGTTAACAAGCCAATGCAAAATAATCTTTAACATTGTTGCAATTATAAATTGGAAGTTTTATTATCCAATTTTAAACTTTCCAAGACTTCATAGATGGTACGACTTGGAGTATTGGTTTTAAGTCGTATTAAGGTCATGTGCATCAATTTTATTGATCTTGTCGAAGAGAGTAGACTGTATGGAGTTTTATTGTAACAAATATCGGCAGAGGCAACGCATGTTATTACCAGCCGTAATTTTGATTTAGCTACTGAGGAATGTTACTTTCTCGTACATCGTATATCGTAATAGGGCCTTTTAAATTTATCTCTCTGCTGACGTGCAACATACGAAATGAAGCCGAGTAGTGAATTATCAGTCTTACAAATGCCACAGGAAAGGGTGTAAAAGATCCTTTTATTTGACTGAACTGAAATTTAATGGACATCACTATTTGTGATTATGAAAGTGAAGAATTCTGCCATTAAATATAATGGCTTCACAATTTAAACGCATCAGCTGCCTCCGACCGAAGGTCGGCGTAGCAAGCCTAAAGAAAATAAAGCAACGCCGCAGAATACTAAGAGAATCTGTTTAGCAACGTGGCCTTCAACAGCCAAAACACACCCTGATTCTACCCTCTGAAACCTTTCATTCAATACTCTTTCTACCCATTTGAACTCAACGCGAGCTAGAAATTTGTATTCTGGCAAGAAAATGAGAATAGGAGAGTTGTTAAAACATGCAATAACTAGTAGAAAAATCTAAATGCCTCGTAGCTCTTGCAGTTTCTCACTTTACGTGTATACATTTCATGTGCGTCGGTGTATTCCACAAAAGAATGGGGAAGATTCAGTTTTAATTTGGATTTCAAGAGGCAAAGTTTCGAATTTATTACCACTTAATAGTCGGTTCACGAATTAGTGCTAATAGCATTCTTAGCGTTTACAGAATTTCAGCCGTGTGCTTTGCCCAATATTTATAAATCTCTTCTAATATTTTTCATGTCGTTAAGATTACTGTCTGTCGTGCTTGCATTATAATCACCGAAAAGACGAAAATGTGAACTTGTACATCATGCCTGGACATAATCTGAGTTTGAATATGTATGATGAAACAACATTCGAAGAGGCTTGTTAAACTATATTCAGAACGCTTGATTTGATAATGTATGAATCTAACATTTCAACCGCTCTCCTTGATCCCGATTTTTACCAAGTTTAAGCACCAACGCCTGTTCTGTATTCCATTTCGTTTAGCCAGCGATGTTGAATTTCTCTGAAATGCTAGTAACTTGAGATAACTGTCGAATTGGATGTAAATTTTATATGCAGTTGATCAAAGTTGATTGACAGGTCCTAAACGAAAAGTAAATGTCGAGTCTCTCGTGACAGACTCGGTTCAAACTAGGAGTATGCCGGTCACCAGTAATTGACATGGTGCTTAATGCGTTGACATTGTGACTGGTTTGAAGATGTTATTGAAGTAATCTGTGTACTTTATGCATAATTACTCGAAATTTCGAATTGTTTTAATTTTAACAGTGAAACCAGGTGCTCCACTGAGTGCAGCTTTCAGCAATATAACTGAATCCAGCTTAATTCTCAAATGGCGTTCTCCTGCAAATATGGAAAATGGTATATTTCCACCTGGTTTAACATATTCCATCCAATATCGTCATTTGACTCCAGTTCCAGGATCATTTAAGGTAAATTTTGATTTAATAATAGCTCTTAAGCTGAATGAATTGTTTATTTTCAAACATTGTGTAATATAATTTAAAAAACTCATTAAGTTTACAAATCCAGTTAGTAATTTAGAAATCAAAATTTTCGTCATCGCGTAGTGTCCTTTTTTGAACATGAGTGCCAATTATTCCTGGTTAACATAATTTGTCAACTTCTGCTTGGCTTTTATCCGCGGTTATTTAAGTCATCTGAAATTTTGCTGTTCTGTTTTTCGTTTATTGAAAAAGTAGCGCAGTATAGTGTAAACGTTATAAAATTTTAAACATTTTTCGGATTCTGTAAAGCAACTCTATATTTTTCATGTATATCGAAAGGCGACTTAACTGAATTACTCGCTTAAGCAAACACGCCTTTATTAAATTAATCTGCACTTGTCCCTTCGATTTTTCCTTTCAGATAAAAGTCTGAACTTTTAGTGTTGCTTATCTTCCACTCACAGGCAAAAAGACTTTAATGCTCCTATATTGAGATGCTGTAAAATTAGTAATGAATGCTTATTCTGAATATTTAGAAAATCCGTACAGACTAATTTTTCGTGCAACTCGTTTATGTTCATGTTAGAAGCAAGAATAGCTTGCAAGAAATCCATGAAAGTTAACTACAATCTCTATTGCTTTGTCGCTGAGATTGAAAATGCCGTGCTAAATTTGACTTCAAGCCTATTAATGACTGGATTCAGAACACGTAACGTTATCTACAAAACGTACGACTGTTAAATTTTCCTATTTCAGCATATGCAGTGTTAATTTGAAATTCAAATAATTATAAAGTTTCAGCACTTTTATATAACTTCCATATTTTAATTTCGCTTGTTTACGATTTTTCTTAAGACCTAGTTTTAAGTTCTTTGCTTCACTTCGAGTAAACTTACACTAATTCTATCTATCAACGCAACTGTTTCAGGAAATACGCCTGTACTTTCCAGCAGAGGGTTTTGTAGAATTCACAGGTTTGATGCCTTACACAAAATACGAATTTAAGATTCGTTGCAGATCATACGATTCAGATAGTGATATGATGTGGAGCCCGTATTTGACCGTTTCTACAAGAACCCTTCCTGACGGTATTGGCTTTTATCTTTTACGTTTGAACTGTACATTGCTTAAAAGATGCATATGTATGTATGTATTAAGATTTAATTCAACATCTGTATTTGGTAGTTTCATGTTAATACTGATGGTATCAAACTAATTAATATAAGAAATTCAGAATTCTTGGAGCTTAAAAATTTATCAGCCTGGTATCGATAGTAAATTTTTAGGTAGCTTTTGAATTTTTAATTATGCGAAGATTTAAATTACACTGCTATTGGTTTGTTTCATTTAGATAACTGTTCTGAAATCTTTTATTTCTGAAGCAGTTGTCCCACCCATGACGGAAGTACAATACTAGCATTTCTGCTAGAGTTCAAATCCCGGCGAACGCGATTGCTGCATGAGATATCTAAGTTTCCTTCACTTTTAACGTGAATTTAAGTAGGTTAATGGTAAGGAAAGGCATCTCTTCCTTTGGGCAGATAACCCTTGCGTATTTTACCATGATATAATGCTAAATCGACGCTCGGAACGAATTTGAATTTTTCTGAATAGTTATGGACGGACACATTTATTGAACAAATAAACTGCTTTTACTTCTCAAATCGGATCCCACTAGCGGCCGAGTGGTAAAATCTCCTGAAGGCTAATTCAACCTGCGTTTGATTCCAGACGAATTAGCAGGCTGCGTGATCTTCCCCGTATGTAACGTGGATACGAGCCAATTTTATATAGAAAGGTCCTCCGCGCAGACAACTCTCCCGCTAGTCGGATGGCCATCGCGTGCTTTTCATTATTAAGGAAGCCAAACCATGCTACTCTAATCATTTTTATCCTTTCCTATAAAGGCTAATTTTAAATCTGTAGCTATTAACTTTCGTTTACTTCTTTACAAAACTGTATGTCCCTGTTCTCTTTTAAAAACCAGACTCTCTTCTTCCAGTGTTCTCGTAATGCTTATTGATGTAATCCAGTTTTCTAAAAAATGACATTTTGAGGCTGATTTTAAAAAAATTTCCATTGAATGGATATGAAATCTAGTTTTCCATTTTGTTCACGGAAAATCTTTTACCGACACTTCGCCACCTTTTTAAGTGTGTTAAAGGGTCTCATACACCTTAAACCCCTCATGATCTTCGAATATGTGACTGTTGCAAGAATTGGAATATTTTATTTAATTTAAAAGCCCCTTTTACAGCTGACTACATAATATAGCTGATTTGGAAACTAGTAACCAGAAAGTTTGTGTTGCCACATATTTTTGTAATTTAATCCTCTTTGTGACAAAATATTTCGCAATATTTCCACCTTGTGCGCATGATATTTTAAAAATGGCTAATGATGGAATTCTTTATATGGGCACTATTTAACTGAACCAAAAATCTGATAAATATTTTAATATTGAAAAATTTTATGGACGAAAATATTGGAATTTTTTTAATAAAATACATTTTATAAACTCTATTCTAAATAAAATAAAAATTTAACATGAAATTTTTAAAATTTTAGTTCACAGTATTTTCCAAATGTTATAAAAGCTATGTATTAAATAGGGAATTAAATTATGAAACGGAATATTTTAAACTGTGCGCGCAAGGTGGAAACATGACGAAAGATGTTGTCACAAAGCGGATTAAATTATAAAAATATTTGTCGCAACACAAACTTTCTGATTTCTATTTCAGAAAGCAGCTATATTATGTAGTCAGCAGTAAAAAGTTGGAAGTAATGGCTTTTAATAAATAAGTTATCCCAATTCTTGCAACAGTCAGATATTCGAAGATCTTATGGGTTTTAAGGTGTAAGAGTCCCCTTAATTCATAAAATTCATTTTTAAATTGAGGCTAATTTTCCATTACGAAGGGAAGTGTTTCAAACATTTTTGACACTTATTACATGGTTCCCGAAAATATGATCGTGGAGTAAGTTTCGTCACACTTTAGAAACAGTTACAGGGTTCTAAAATTAAGTTCATATGTACAGTAAATACCCAATGTCCTTGAAGCCGTGCATTATGAAACTTTAGCTGTCCAATTTGAAGGAAATAATCGAAAGGTTGGAGCAGACGCCAAATCTGTTATTACGCACGTAATTTGAGTTCAATGTGAAGATTTCTTAAACAATTACTCGTTTTTATATAAGCATCCAAACAATCTTAAACTTTGCGCTCAATTTGGTTTAATTACAGAATTTTAAATTGAACCATATAACATACTTGGGTAGCTCAATGGTGATCTCGCTTCACTAAATGGTGAAATGTCCACTAGAGGCCGAATTCGATTCCAATCTAACATGCTGATTGCTAAGAGTTTTTCTCCATGTATAACGCGAATACGAGCCAGTTTCCCTTAAAGTCCTCCATGAAGGCATCCCTTACGCACATAGCCTGTGTTTTGGCATAATGAAATAACCAGTCCACTCAATACCAAAACTGGTTGATTGCTAATTATATAATACAAAGTGAAGAAAGGAGCTACATTCAAGCATAAGAAATCCAGAAATGTATTGTATGGGACTTGTTGTAATTAATTATATTGCTTTCGTAAATTTCTGTTAACGTTGATACCCCAAGATCCTCGCAATTGTTTTCACTCTTAACAAGTTTAAATTTTGATTTCTGTTTCTCTGTTTAACTGTTTTGACAGTTTCCTATTGCCATTAATTGTAACATTTATTCGCCATTACCGACTTCTTTCTGTTCCGTCACTGGCAGAGTGGTTAACACTGAAAAACGAGCATTTGCCTTGGTTTCGATCTCGGATGACTGGCTACACGATTGGTTTTTGCATTTCCTGTGTAATGTGAATGTTTTAAGACTTCAAAGAGGGAATCCCAAATAGCCAGTGTCCTTGCTCAAATTTCTCTTACTCAAGTTTAAATCCTCTCCTATACCAAGGATACTCGTATTAGATTAGGAACTGCGGGTTTTGATTATAATGCTAGAGGGTTATATACTTGAAGGAAGCCATTTTAAGATGGTTTGTATTCCGGTTCATATGGGGGGCATAATTTTAAACTGTAATGTAGCCAAGATTTGAAGCCTGATGAAATTACCAGTGTGCAGAGGATTTTGCTGCTTGGCAGCTTTTGGGTCGGACTAGAAATATGGATCCTTGAAAGAAATGTATCGGATGTAAGTGTAAGAAATGCAGGGAATCGGCGCGCATCATTTCAATAATTCCAGTTACTTAAAACTGGATGACCGCCATTGAGTATTAGATTTTGATGGTTTTGAATACTATAACTTCTAAACGTATTAATTTTATTTTCATTACTGAGGTTAATTAGAAATATTTTCCACAGTTCCTTACTGGAGACCTGAAATTGACAAGTCGTCATTTATTGTTGAATCTAATGAAGCTACCAAACTAACTCCTGATATTAGAACAATAACTCTATATTGGAAGGTAAGATTTTTATTATCTTTCATTTTGAAATTCGTAATTTTTCTGATTTTTTCACGATAATTGCATTTATTTCAGGGCATACCTGCTGCGCATGAAAATGGACCAGACTTTCACTACGTGATTGATGCTTCATGTGAAAACTGGATACAAGTCCAATCTTCTGGCAATGAAACTACATACAGTTTTCAGGACATGAAACTTTATTCCACTTATAAATTTGAACTGTTTGCCAGCAACACTGTTGGTCGTTCCACCAACAGTTCACAAATAGTTATTGAGCCACATAGATGTAAGTTATTCTATTTATCCATTAAATTGTATAAATTTAATTTTTAAATGAAATTTTGCTTGCAGTAAAATGAAGATCTTATTAAATTTACGGTACGTGTATTTAGGTTTCTTAAATTTCACTGTCGGTTTGGTACAAATCCATATCTAATAAACGAGTTGCTAATGATATTGAAAATTGAAATTTTTGAACGCCGTTATTCTACAATGACTAATGTTTCCAAGAGCAAAAATTTTAATTGTCGCTTTAAACAAAGATTAAAGTATCTCGTTCAAATACACATTAAAAAACCGAAGCAGTTGAAATACAAATTTGTATGCCATATGTAGACGGCTATATATTTTTGCAGAATATTTTTCAAAAGCTATTTAAAGCAATTTTAACGGAAACTTAATTTGAGGGTACTTTTATAACTATACATTTACAGTTCCACTCTGGTTATAAAAATTTAATCTCGAAATTTTGTTAAACTATGCGAATCGGTTTCAAAAAACTTATCTTCTAATTGGAGCATACTTTATTCTAAGCAACTGTATTGAATTGCAAAGTACAAATTTTCTAATGATTGTAAATGCTTAAAATTTGAATGATTACGATGACTGTGCAGAAGCCTTTAAACAGAACTAAACTGAAGTGAAAATCGATTTGGGACATTGTAGGATGCATTTGTGTGGCATCAAAAGTTTAAACTTGGGAACCCATAACAGTTGTTAACCTACATTTTTTAGCTACTAGAAAACGTGTAGACGAGCCGTTTACCTTGGAATGTCATCCCTTCCTTTTGGAAGATAGCTCTAAAGTACTTTCCCGTAATTAAACTTAATTTCATGGAATTTCATTTTATGAAATATTTTTGGTTTGCTGACAATCTAAAATTTTCTACCAATCGCATGCCACTAAATGTCGTTTTTTGTGGTTTTAAGTGTGATAAATACTCAACCTTCCTAGCTGTAAGCAAATCTGATGGCGAGCTCGGCTATAATTTTTCAAACTGTCTGATTTGTTCCACACTGACATTTTAAAATTAAGTCTCTGTTAAAAGCATATGTAAACTTCCTGGGGGGGTTTAGTGCGTGTTAACTATCACCATATTCAGTATTCAGATACTTTCAAGTAATTGTTATTTCTGTTTGGGTTTAAATCCCGTGGAAAGGTTGGCTGCATCCGCGTCTCGTGACTATCCGCGTGTAATGTAAATACGACCCATTCTTTTGGACATGCAGTAAGGCCTCCCTCTCCTTCGTTGTATTCGTTGTCTTATTCCAAATCGTACAGTTCATAAACAACTTGGATATTTGATAATTTTCTCATATGCGATATTTTAATGCGATGTAATTTAGCATCAGTAATTCAGGAGAACTTTGTAAAAATAAAAGGCTGTTTCCCATCATGTGCTTCTACGGGGAAAACAAACTATCAGATATCATTTACAATACTTATAATAGGGAATCTCACCGTAAGTGCAGGTTAAGAATCAAATATCTGAATGCTAGTTATAAAATTTGCGCGAGTTCATTGTTGAAAAACCAGCAATGCTTGATTGCTGCTCACCAGAATAGTCCGTCTGCAACTTATTACTTACGCAGGTTTCCTCGTTCAGCTATGTTTAAATCGGCAATAGTTCACTATTTTGGACATCCAAATAAAGTATTGAGCTTGCAGACCAAATTTAAAATTTGTTTTATGGGAAGTATTTCCCAGGAGCTCTTTCTGCTAGCTTTTTAGCAAGCTCCGATTTAATACGAGTTTCTGATTTATGTGTTTTATTTAATTCCTTCCCTCTATTTTCAGTGCTTAATGGGCCAAAAGATATTATTGTCGAATTTGACGAAGACAGCTACCGGATCCGCTGGACGCCTACTCAGATCGGAGTGTATTATACTATATATTGGTGTGAAAGTTTAATGCCACGTCCTGTAAGATGTCAAGGCCCTTTAGAATGGTTAAATGAGACATACGGTGAATACAAAGATTTGTTGCTGTCCAATAGCAAGAATTATCAGTTTGCGGTATCTGCAAATACCAAAGATCAGTCATCGGGAATATTTTGGGCTTCTTGCCATCTTTCTAATAACAGCATTACTTCATACTCGTATGATGTCTGTGGGCATTTCATACACGACAGGTCTCTAAATCGAAGTCTTAACATTTTGTATCTGTGAACTATGTTTTATTCCATGAAAATTTGACGCTTGAAAATATCTTAAGAATAATTTAAATAATGGTGTGTTAAATGACTATCAAAAACCTGTTTGCTTTTAAAAGTATAGTTAAGCACCTGGCATATTAAGTTTATTTTTAAATGTGATTCAAGTGTTTTATCTATAAAATCATGTATAAATTTGTGGAATAGTTTTTAAGTAACATCTGTTTTTAATAGCTGTTTCTCTAATGTACTAATGAAGGAAAAGCAGTTTCAATTTTAATTGTAAATACATTAAAATAAATTTTAGTAACATGAAATGGTTGGTAATCTTTGCGTTACTTGCTTCCTTGTAACATTGATTTTAAACTTCTGTTACCAAGTGGGTATTTCCTCGAGCACAGACGTCACAAACGCCATTTTATGCCTTTTACGAAATAACTTCATATGCGTTTAGTAGCATTCGATTGCATAGAAACAAAATTTAATTTATTCACTTCGGCATACTAAATTGTTCATAAATTCTACTTGTATCTGAATTTTATACCGTTTCATAAAGGAATTTTTCGATAAACTTTCAGATTTTTATGTTCAATGTTGGGCTAATAATTATCATGGTACCTATTTATCAATTTTATTACTACAGGGATATTGGTATGTTTTTGAATATTTTCTTCTGTACCATTATTCATATTTACATAACGCAGACGTGATTTTACATGACTCATTAAATTTGCTTAATGAATAAAATTAAAGCGCAGGATCTCTACGAAAAAGTTTACTTGCGAGGTAAAACGTGAACTATTTATGAAATACCAGGCTTTTTTGTAAACTAAATTTTATTTTTTAGCTTAAGTAAAATACATATTTTACTGTCTTAATCTTGCAGAAATCGAAGTAATAAAATTGTATACGTAATTGCTAAATTTTGATTCCGATTTTTTAAATTCTGAAACATTGTAGGTAACTGTTTTGAAGTCGTGGGTTGTTAAGGATTGTATTGGTGAACGTAATTGTGGCAACCCCACACCGAATTATAAAAATAAGTTTCAGATACAAGCTGTATTGGAGGAAAAGAGTTTTCATCCTAACGTATTCTCAAGCTGTGCCATTTACCCCATCGTTTGTTTAGTGAATGCTTCGATTTCATTAAATTAGCTTAATGTTACAGTACTTTAATGTTATTTCTTTTCCCAATTTCAATTATGTGGGATTGAAAATTACTTCAGTTCTGCAAGAAACTTCAAAGCATTTTCTAGAAACAAACTTTGTAACAAATTTAGCTTTTACCTAAAGCATATGGAAAAGAATTGCAGTATATTTAACAAAAATTATTACGCACATAAAGATAAACTAATTCAGAAGCTTCACACTTCCAATTACTAAAAATCCAGAGTTTAAACAAAACTGCGGAATTAAAAAGGAATTTTCGAGAGAACGAGTTTCAAAAGCTTTAAGAAAATTTTGTTGGAGATCTAACAAATCTAAAAATCCGGGATCCCCATAAATGTATTGATTACTTTTAGAGGAAACCTTAAGAGTATCTTATTACTTCCACTTGTGATATTCATTGCCTTTATTAACAAAGAGGCTTACATATGTAACCGTTTATAAATGTTGCATAATATAAGTTCTATTTTGAAATAACTACCTGTACAAATTCCTTGTTTGATTTTAGAGGATTTTGTTTTCCAAGCATTTTATATACTGTTATCCACGTGAACGAACAAAAAGGTAGAAAATGGTGTGTTCATAAATAGATTGAGATGTATGTAGATAAAGAGCAATTACAAGAAAGTGTTTAGTAAATACTTGTAAATATTTTACCGACTATACATTGAAGGAAAGTATAAAAGTAAATTAAAGCTAGTATAGTTAAAATTCTAAATGAACGCCTGGTAAGCCATCTCCCAAAGGGGTATCTGTAAAAATGACTTGGCTGTAGCTACGCAACGTTTACTGATTAATTCTGATAGTCGTTAAGCTTTCTACGATACTATGAAACTTCAGGCTGAACTCTCATCTGCAAACTCAGGATAACGATTCTTCTCTTATAAGGGCACTACTGCCTTTGATAATGTAGATATTATCTCAACCTAGACCTATGCAGATAGGGTAGATATTCTGAGGACACGTTAGCAATTTGAATTCGCAGGTTTAAAAAACAGATCTTTGTATTTGACACTTTAACGTTATACTATCTAGAATTCTTTCATGTTTTCAGAAATTGCAGAGCTTTGAATCATGCCTTATTTTCACCCTTTCCATTTGCAAACACAGCCTGCCTATTTGACACACGATGCGTTTTTAACTTTCTTCATGCAGTATAAATTAATACGTAAGCTTCCTTTGTTTTCAGTTTTGAGTAGAGCTTTGGTATATGTTTGATAAGGAATAATGCTGTGCTTGACCTTAGCCATTACGGAAACACTGTTCTAAAATCTATGCGGTTATAAGGATATCCGGTTGTATCAATTTCTGAAGGAAAATACTTGTTAGACAAAATAAATTGTAATGCATTTGTTTTGATGCACTAATGTATTGAACTGTTTTATTTTTAACTTCATTTATTTCATTTTGGTTAAATAATTGCTTATTACGATTGTATAAATCGCTGTCGAAGCTAGTTTTATGAAATCAATCTTTGCATTTCGACACTGTTAGGATTAGACATAGCTTATTTCTGCAATTCCTTTTCTTAATACTTGGTTATGTTTTAATGCTTTTTGTATTAATTACAAGTTGTGGGCATTAAAACTTCTTACGATATATTCTGGCTTATTTCATTTTGCTGACCAAAATAGAACAACTCCAAGAATTTTATCGTGACTAGAAAGACTACCTCTGTCATTAGCATTACCTTTGAACACCATATAGCAGGGATGGCAAAGACGTTGACCACGAAGACTTTTGGTAGTCCACGCGATCATCCCGATAATGACCTCGGATATTAACAATTTAATTTTTGACGTATGACGTAGAATTAATGAATTATTTAAAATAAAAATTTACTACAGTTTACGCTTTAAAATTTAAAACAAACTGTGCAAAGTAATACAATGAATTTGTCGTTTTACAGGGGAGAATTAAAGAAACTACTTGACAAAGTGGGATTCTTAGATTATATCCAGTAGGTGGCGAGTCGACTAAAGTCTACCCGTCACTCGCCCGTTTAGTTTCAGTTATCAGTTAATCGTCTTACGTTGCAGGTCGCTCGCTTCCTACCGCACTGATGCAATTTGTTTCAACAACCCGCCCAAAATGACTCAGCCAGGTACCAGTGCTAAAAGAAGTAAAACATTATCACAATGAGTGGGAAGATTTCCTTTTTGTTATGGTGAAGGAGAAATGTTTGTCTCGGAACTCAAGTGTGGCACTACCAAGAAAAGCAAACGTAAACGTCGAAAGACTCTTTAAAACCATGCACTTGGAATACACTAGACTTTCCAATCGGCATTGAACTTCGAAAATTTAAAGTGCAAAATTTAAAGTCGAATTTACAGCAATCGTTATTTACCAGACCAGGCTCCAAAGCTAAAGCAGTAACATTCGCGTCGTTTAAAATTGCAGAAGTTTTGATAAAGCGAAAAAACATTCGAAGATGGAGAATTGATAAAAGAAGCTTTCTGTAAAGCGGGAGAACAAAACAAATCTGAAATCATATCGTCAATAAATATTTCTTTGTCGCTAACACTGATGCGACGGACTGAAGCTATGAATAATAATTTGGAGCATTTATTAAATGACGATTTAAAAGCTTGTAAGTTCCTATCACTTCAATTTGAATCCACGGAAATTAGTGACATTCCACAGTTATGCGTCTTTGTGAGAATGATTTTCGAAGCTATGACATCAACAGAAGAGTTATTAGCTATAATTCGAATGAAAGAACAAACGAGAGGCCAATATATCTACAATTCATTTAAAAACTTTATTGATAAGACGGGATTTCCAATATATAAATTGGTCTATTACAACAGATGGAGCTCCAGCAATGGTCGGGAATCGAATTGGTTTTATTGCCTTGTGCAATAATGAGGAAATTCCCAGCTTTACTAGCTATAATTGCATTATCCATCAACAGTGATTGTGTTAAAAAATAGTCTAATGATATAATGCAAATTGCTTTTAAAATCGTTAATTCGATTCGTTTGAGTGCTTTTGAAATAAACAATCAGTACGGAGATCTCTTATTGCACACAGACGTGAGGTGGCTAAGCTGTGGTGCTTTTTAAAAGGGTTTCGTATTCTGTTGCCAGAAATAAAAAAAAAAATTCTACAAATGAAAGGAAAGCACATTACTGAATTGGAAGATGAGAATTACTGAATGGCTCATGAAACTAGCTTTTCTCTGCGATATCACTACAAAACTTAACGACTTAAACCTAAATCTACAAGGAAAGAATAAATGTTTAACAGACCTGATGAGCGCAATTAAAACTTTCAAAAAAACGATAAGTTATACGTCTCGATTAAGAAAACATGAATTGAGAAACTTCAAAAACAGCGAGGAAGAGTGCATCCATAATCCAAATCGAGATTTCGATGATTTCGCTGAACACTTAGATGTTTTGTTTGAAGAATTTGAAAGAAGATTCGCTGACTTAATTAGGTTGGAAGAAATACTCAATCTTATGATATTTCAATTTAATGACAGTATCAACATTGATGGAGTATCTAAAAAATGGGACATTTAATAGGTATCATATCAGTCGCGGTCGAGGAAGAAATTATTAAATTAAGATGAGATATATTTCTTAAATCTAGAACATCTAGCGATACTGATTTTGGGAAATTAATTTTTGGGGAAACGTTTCCAAATATTTACAAATTGATTTTGTATTTGAAATCATACTTTGGATCGACTTATCTTTGCGAATCTGCTTTTCAACCATGATCGCCATAAACCAAACATCGTCGCGTTTAACACTTTGATGAATTTTTTTTAATTTCGTGTTTTTATGAACATTTAATTTCTGTGCATCAGCATTGCAACAATGTACCAGCCACAATCGTGGCAGATGAACTCTTTGGCAGCGATATTACGGTGCCATTTTCAACTAAATGATATGAATAGGATGGTCAATTTTTGATATATGAATACTTTGATTATTTTCTTCAGTAAATTTTTTATTTGTAAATATTAAGTTTTTAGAAAAATTAGATAATTTATCATTTTTTCTTGTTACCGAAAATAAATATATAAACATGTACGTTATGTTAATTTAGCTCTGCCAGTGGTAGACCGCCTGCGATTTTTTAAATGTGGAGTAGACTACGGATCCCAAAAGTTTGGCCACCCCTGCCATATAGGATAATA